AAAAAGGAGAGGAATGTGGTGAATAAAAAAAAACAACGGACAGAGAGAGACGGGAGAGAGAGGGAGAGGAGGAGGCAGGTTGTTGGGTAAATGTGTTTCCAAATATCCTGAGGGAAAGTAGGGTTCTCGTACTTGCAATTTTATATGTGATTCTCAAGATTAATGGCTAAAGCGGGGAGTTCATAATGATCGACTGGATGGGTTTGTCCTTTGGTTTGTTCTCTTTTTTTCTTCCCCCCTTTTTTTATCCTAATTCTCCAATTTTTCTTTCATTGTCATCACGCGTGAGAGAGAGAGAGAGAGAGAGAGACTTTTTCTTTCCTTCTTTTACCTTCTTTCATTTCTATTGCCTTTTCTTTTTTCTTTTTTTTTTACTTTCAATTTCTTCACTTCGATTATTCCATGTGAATTGTCATTTTAAGTGTCTGCCGTACCATTTTTTTCCCTACCTTCACTTGCTTCTGTTTTTTTCCTTTTAGAATTCCCAAATCTGAATGATTTCATGTTTTCAATTTTGTTTTCTTTTTTATTATTATTCTTTCTCCTCACTGTCACGTGAAGAAAAATTGTTAATGGTAAATTTTGCTCCAATACCCTTTCATTTACACCTTGAAAGGTGCTCACCAGGGGTTAGAAATTTGATTAATGCAGTTTAATGTTCAAATGCGATTATGTCCCAAACTGCGTTCACAATCTATAATATGTTTTCTGACTAGGAAAATTGTTCTTTTAAATTTTCTCAATATTCTCTCGGATTTTTATCATGTTAGATTTCTAGAGTCTTTATAGGTTTATAGTCAATTGGTATGTTGTATGTGGCAATAGGCTACCGCAAGCACACCAATCATGGTGTCTAATTTATTTGTTTAAAAATTCATTTTTAAAAAAAGAAGAAGGAGAAATTTTTTGTCATAAATAGATTGAAAAATAATTTTTATGCCGTACAAAATTTTAGAATCTCCACAAATATAAAAAAATTAATTTTCATATGAGATTTTTAAAATCTTCATAGGAATTTCAATCTAATTTTTTTCACCAAAATCCTTTCTCAAATAATGGAAGAAGCCTCTTTTATAAATTAAAAGATACAAATCCAATTAAAAACCTATTTTAAAAAAAAATAAAAAATTCTTTTTTAAAAAAATGCTAACAAATTGATATACATTTTTACCCTTGAACTATATGAGTTTTAATCTCTCTAAAAATTATGTAGGCTTTATGATTTTATCCTAGATCAAGTCTGATTTGTAAATAAATATTATTTTTTAAGTTAATTTTTCTTCTTTTTTTCTTTTTATTGTTTTTGTTTACTTAAGGGAAATTAAATTTCATTTAAAGCTATATTAATTTTGTTTAGTTAACTTACGATAATTGCTCTCACAAATGAGATGCCTAATACCTTTCTCACACACAATCGACTCCTAAGTCCTATTTTGATTATTGTAGGCTATTTTATTTTGAGTGCGACATTCATCTTATCTCTTACTAGTCAAGACTCTCCATGAGTGATTTTTTTTTTTTTTTGTGATATTGGCCGCTCAATCAAAACACCAATATCATAAGCATAAATCCAAAGGCATAGCTCATCGCAAAATACTAATATTTTTTATAAGAAAAATCTCTTAAACTTATAAACTATATTTCACGTATGATGCTCCTGATAGGAAACTCGTAACTTTGCATTGATATGAAAATACATATACGTCCATATATAGACTGTGATATATTAATTTTAAAAATGTAAAAGGAATTAAAATCATTGAGCAGGAAATTGTAAGGGTATTTTTGGGAGAATAAAATGACGCCTCACTTTATGATTGCAAAATAAAAGTTTTGTTTTGTCCTGTTTTGTTGAACATGAAGAGAGAAGAAGAAAAGAAAAACAATCGCGTGCAAGGAAGATGCGCGTACTAGAATTTCCTTTCATCGAAAGAAACAAATTGAAAATTGCCAAGCGATTAAGCAAAGGCTTATACGGAATTGATTGGATTAACATTCATGCCCACAAACTCAAAGGGAGCAATGAGGCAGGCAGGGTCACGTGGAGCGAGCTTACAAATCCTAATTGACTTCTAAGAAGGTTTAGAACGTCACATGAAAATCACACGCTTAATTAATACTAGAGACACGAGAAAAAACCAATTACAACACATTTTTATTTTTAAAAATGTAAAATATGATATATTTTTTATACGTACATATATATATATATATATTTATTAAAAAATATAATTTCAGTTCAAAAAATATCCAAATTAATGTATGTATAGTTCTTTATAGTAATATTAAACAAATATAATCATTAATTATATTTTTATTCTATTTATATCTAATTACCTATTGCCTAATCCCTACTGATAAGCATATTATCAACATCTTTTCTTCATTGGCCAACGTTTGAAAAAAAGATAGTTTTTATGTTTGGTTCATCAAGACATAAGTTTATCATCCACAAAATTCTAATACCATCAAGGCCATCTTATTCATTTCTACTAATGTCTCAAAAAAGATATTCGTAAAAAAAGTTTAATATTACAATTTTTAAAAATATTTACTTTCTTAAAAATTTTCTTAAAGTATTAACTCACAACGTAAAAATATTGAATACATATCAAAAATTAAATTTTATTAAATTAAAAAAATAATATTTGATACTTTATTAATACATATAAAAAAAATTAATGAATATTAGTATGATATCAATATGTATATGTGAGGTAATTTAAAATATTGATACTTTATACATTACAAATTACAAATAAAATTCTTATCAAGTGATAGTATCTCTAATGTTTCGAGATATGTTAGGAGATTTTGCTCCTAGTTCCGTGTAATATGTCTTGTTTTGTTTGGCTGAGCCCTGTTTGTTTAAAATAATAATTCTTATCTTAATCAATGAGTGATTTTATTATTTTGAGATAGTGAAGTTTTTGGTTCATTAAATTTATCTGACTTATTAAAAAGGAAAAATGGTAATAAAGTCTCCCCAAATTATACAAATGATAAGTTAGTCATTCAAAATATCATAATTTGATTGAAGTTCTTAAGCACTTTCGTATCAATAAATTTTAAAGTGAAAAGACTATTTATTTTTATTAATAAGTTGTAATTTATTATTTAATTCTTACAATTATTTAAATAAAAGTTATTATTACTTAAACAAAAATTATGATTGGAGTTGTTATTTTGAGAACTTGTTTTTCAATATCAAAAATCACATTTGACAAATTGCGATTTTTTGTTTAACTTTAGTGATTCATAAAACAAGAATTGTTATTCCTTAAGCAAAAGTTGTGATTAGATATTATTATTTTGAGATAAAAATCATATTTAATAAATTATAATTTCTCGTTCATTTCTTGTAAATCATAGAATAAAAGTTGTTATTCTCTAAATAAAAGTTGTGATTGGATTTGTTATTTTTAATAAAAGTAAAATAATTTTTTTACTTTAACATTTATTGACATAAAAGTTATTAGGCATTTCAGTGAAATTATAGCTATTTGAGAAACTAGATTGTTATTTATATAATTCAAAAGAATTTTATTATCACTGTCTTTGATAAAAAAAAGTATTGAGGGCTACTTTTAAATCATGAAACTTTTGGGTCTCTATAACTCAATTTTAGCCAGACAACATGGCTTAAACCCAAGAAAACTCAAAACAGGTTAAATGGGTTAACTATAGTTAAATTTATTATTTTGCCTTTTCTCCTTGTTCTTCTAAATGTTAAATCCTGAATTAAATCTAAATCTCTTATTTAATTTTTAGGGTTGTTATACTTTTATTATTTTTCAAAAACTTAAATTTAATATTTGTATGAGACATATATAAGATTTTATGAATGCATTTTTCACTTGATTGAAAATTATGAACTTTTTATTTAAACATCATAGTTTTCACAGTTAAATATGAACATTGTTGCGTATTTAAATTAAAATATATTATTTGAATGTGATCGATCTGATTCTAGGTTAGACATTGACTGTTAAATTACTGTCTCAATTAATTCAATAATTGATCTAATTTTCAGTGCATTGTCAATAGTTGAAACAAATCTTATGTATCAAAAGTGTCATTACCCCCATATATATATATATATATATATATATATTAGGTTAAAATATGCATTTAGTTTTTTAAATTTACACAAAATTTTATTTTAGTCTTTTAAATTTATAAAGTATCTTTTTAATTTTTTAACTTTAATTCTATTACTTTCATAAACATTCTCAAATATGTTGGCATATTAAGTTTATTTTTTTAAATAATAAGACTAACAAAAAAAAAACTAATAACATTAGGATTTGAGGACTGAAAAAATACTTTTTAAAATTAAAAAATTAAATTAAAATCTTATATAAAATTAAAGAACATAAAGTATACTTTAACCTATATAATATAATAATAGAATTGTACTTGTAAATGATAATAACTATTACTATTAATTTCTATTCCCTATAAATACATACATACATACATATGTATATGTATGTGATTTTTATCTATTTTTTTATATCTACTATGTCCAATTTTCCTATTAAATCTTAGCACATGATTTTTTAATATTCAGAATTCCTATGGGTAAAATTTCAGAAATTTCAGAAACTATAATTGAAAATAAAAATTATATATATGCCAATATTTACTTAAAGAATTTGACCTAGTAGATTTAAATAAATAAAATTTTTTTATCACATAAAACTACATGTATAATTGATGGCTTATACATAAATTTTATAATTTACAATAATATACTTATTACATTGGTTGGAAAAAATTTATGAATGTGATGTGATGCAGCTGACGGAGACTTTGACACTCCCGGTCCCTAGATCACTACTTGCTATAATATTTTTCCAATTTTACATACATTGATATTGACACTGATGATAGTAGTCATGGTGGACCACGGACTGAATTTTTTTTTTTCTTTCTCTTTTTTGTTTGACCAATAAAATAGACAGAAAAATTTTCTTTTCATTGCATTTCAGGAGCCACATTTTCGGCTGGAGGGAAAGTTGTCACGGTTTTCGCACGTGGCCGGACTGAGCAGGGCACGTCAGTTGAAGTGAGAGGGAGCACACAATCGTCATGGACCCTCCCACGACGAATTTTGTCCTCTTTGCAAGGATCGTGCCATGATTATTCCAACCAGAGAATGACTGTGTGTGTGTGCATTCAAATGGCGAAAGGGATGTGGAGGTCAATGCGTTACATGATATAAGCTTTGCAGCTAGCTGCAGTAACAATAACTGAAGCTCCGGTCTGGTCCCTTCACAGACTGAAGAAAAATCGACTTGATGGATTCGTTGCTCCTTGGGTCTTTTCCTAAAGCTTCTGTGATGACCTCAGGTATCTCTGCTTTTCATGAATAATACCAGTTTCTGGTTCCGCGTTCAAATTGATGAGGCCCTGAACCTTATTGATGGAAAAACCCATCTGGGTATTTTGAATTTGGACGATGGTCGCTGGAACTTCTAAGAGTACTGATTTATCATTTCATGGTTATTGTTCAGCATGTATCTGATGACCAAGATTATTATAATTTTGATACCTTTTTTCGGCGTTTACGTACTAATTCAGGCATTCCTTGACAGGTAGAAATAGCTGGAGGAGTAGAAGTTACACCAAGGGCTGCTATGCAAGTATGCTTATATATCGTTCCTCTTTTTGTTGCATTCTGCTTTATAAGGAGTAGAGTATCTTGCTTTCTACATTATCTGTGAGTCCGCGGAGTAAATAGGATTTATTTATCAATCTGTTTGACATTTTAGTGTAAATGGTAGGAGGAGAGGGAGGGGGAGAAAATTGACTGCCTGTTTCTGTTTATCTCTTTCTGATTCAATCCCTTTGCTCCCTTTTCTCCCATTTTCATTAGACTTTCAAAGTTTTGTTAATTTTATTGTTCTATTTCTACTCCTAATCCCTTTTACATTGCGATTAATTATACCTTTCTACCCTTACTCAAAAGGGAATTTCTACATGTTCTGGGGAAATAATAGATGCTTAGTCCGTACAAAGCATTGGGAATAATGACAATGGTGTGACGCAATTAAATGTATAAAACGTTTGAAGTCATAATAAAATAAAAGGAATATAAGTAGGACTCATTCGAAAGGTTGAAAATTCCTCATCACTGGAAGCATGGTTGCTGCGTGACTGTACATTGAGGGACGCCAGTTCTGCAGCGGTATCTTGCAAACTCAAGTTTGCTTGAGTTATATGGAAAATGATGGTCTGTTGCTTCCAAAAAATTAAACTGTATACTTCAAATTTTTGAATATTAAGGGTTGATCTTAATATAAACCTCATCATTTTATACAATGGATTTTATAATAAAGCTTCCCTGTTACGGTGCTCAAATTACACTTCACCCATTAGCATCAGCATAAAATCCCCCCCCCCCCAACCCAATCATTGCAATAACAAGAAATTGAGAAAAAGATAATAACTCCTCCTCTTAGTTCACCTGAACTTTGGCTGGAGATTTTATAATTAACTTATGGTGCATCATTCTTTTTTTTGTGTGTGACTTTATATAGAATGCACTGAAGAATTTTATGAACTCAATCAATCGATTGCAGTAATTGATTCTCTTATAGTCTTATTAATAACTACATGTCTTTGTGGAATTGTAAAATTGTGGCCTTGCCAAAAGTTTAGAAATCACTTTAAATTGAGAAATAATTTCTATATTTAGTTCTTCAAAGGACACCGGTTCTCTGTTCTGACAAATAATAACCGGTACTCTAGGTTCTTATCTTAGAACAGCTTCATGGCAAAATGCTTGGAAGGTCCAAAATGATATTCAGATCACAAGGTTCTTTCAGAATAATAACAAAGGCATGGGAAGAGGATATACATGTCCAAAAAGTGCCAGAAAATATATCGTGAATGCAGCCTCTGAACAATCTTTTGAATCTGAACCGGGAGCTTATGATCCAAAAAACATTTGGCACTCTGTCACAAGAGCCTTAGATGCTTTTTACAGGTTCTCCCGGCCACACACAGTTATTGGCACAGTTAAGTTGAAATTTTTTGAATACTCTTTCGGAAACATATAAACTTTATATATTTGATTAATCCAATTCAATTATATGAGCCTACTTTGTAATTTAGTGGCAAAGTTGCTCTGCTGAATGTTTGGAAGGCGCTCACTTTTGTGTTTGAACAGGCATTAAGCATACTCTCTGTATCCCTCCTTGCAGTCGAGAAGTTATCAGATTTATCTCCACTGTTTTTCACTGGTGTATTGCAGGCAAGGCAACTGATGAGTTGATTTACTTAGACGATGAATTGCTATTTTACGTAACTCAATTAACACATTTAGTTTTTATGTTCCAGGCTGTGGTGGCTGCCCTCTTTATGAATATTTACATTGTTGGGTTAAATCAGTTATCTGATGTTGAAATAGACAAGGTTTGAAAGTTACTAATAGAAATAATTTGGAGAGTGGGAATTTTCATTTTGGGACTTAAAAAGTTTACTGACTTGTATATGTTTATCGTAGATTAACAAGCCATATCTTCCATTAGCGTCTGGGGAGTATTCCTTTGTGACTGGTGTTGCGATTGTTGCATCTTTTTCAGTTCTGGTACCAGATATAGAATTGTTCTTTTTTGCTACTGGAGTGCACTTTATTTGCCCTGATTTATCATCCTCCTTATTTGTGGAAACTAATTTTAGGTTTAATGAACAATTATCTTTGTTCCTGGTCAGGTAATAATTTTTTAAGAAATATTTTCCTTGCATATTTGTCTGGTATCTATCCTTAATATTTGCTCTACTTTGGAAAATGGAACCAAATTTTCAATATGATAAATATGACCTGTTGCTCATTATGTCTGATGCCTGATGTCCTGCATGTTAGGGGTAATTTCTGATCTGTTTTCTTTGTTCAATGAATCAGCTCTATGATTTTTATGTCTTTATCCTGATGTTTATGACCTTGCTCTTTAGCCCTTTTTTCTTCTCTTATGTTGAAATTCTTTTTTGATTATTTGATATGATTTCTTTAAAATCTTGCATCTTTTGGCCTCTCTAATGCTTTTTGCCTTTTTCTGAATATACTGTTCTGGCTTTGCTTAATTAGCTAACTGGTAACTGGCTTGTAATTTATTATTTTCAGAGTTTCTGGCTTGGGTGGATTGTAGGTTCATGGCCTTTGTTCTGGGCTCTTTTCATCAGTTTTGTTTTAGGGACTGCTTATTCAATCAATGTGAGTTCGTTAACATTGTTTGATTTTTTATGTTCTGTTGTTACTTGGGGACTAATCATGTTAGAATGTTTTTAATTTTTATGTATTTGATCAGAGTTGAATCCAGTGCATTTTCCTCCAAAGTTCATGTTTTCTTTTAACTATAATCATTTTCCGTTTTTTTTTTCTTTTGACAGAAAATCTGAGAGTTTGAGGTGGAATATGAGTTAGAATTATGTGACAACTCTATTTTATATAATGCAGGACTGGGATGTAATAAATGACAAGTAATTCTATTGTTTTTGGTCAACTCATTTAAAAATCTGTAGGCAGACAAATGCGTTATTGTGATGCTTATTTTATAAGTTATATTTGATGTTGTTGATTGCAACGGTCTTGACTTAATAGCTCTTGGAAACTTTCAGTTGCCTATGTTGAGATGGAAGAGGTTTGCGGTGATTGCAGCAATGTGCATCCTGGCTGTTCGGGCAGTAATTGTTCAACTTGCATTTTTCCTCCACATACAGGTTGTCTCACCTGATCCTGCACTTCAAAGACAAATACTTGTTAATATGAATGCTTTGGCTTTTTTTGATAGCTACAAAAAACCTTACTTCCCAAATCATTAACAATAATAATCATCATCATCATCCCAAGCTCTTGTGAGCGTGCTTGATTATATTCATAATCCCATATAAACTGATCCTCTTTCACCATCTGCTCGCCCCAGGTATGGTGAGATTCTGTAATTATCCTTTTACATATCTAGAGTAAAGAAGAAACCTGAAAAGAAATATAGTAGGGTGTCCAAAGTTAACAAAAGTGGTATTATTAACATGGTCTCATTGGTATGTCTGAAGTCTATACTTCCAATCTAGCGAGTCCACCTTTTCCGAGAAGAAGTATGAGGTCCTTTGGTTACTGTCAAAGTATTACCTACAACTAGGGTGAATTGCAGTTTACTCTGTGGTTGGACCCAAGATCTCTGATCCCCCCCCCCCCCCCGCCCTCTCAGTTACCACTTATAAAATAGTCATGTGAAAATAAAGATGATCAATAATTTCATTGTTGAAAGCTTTGTATTACTCATATCTTAATCAAATTTGTAGTCCTTTAAAGTCGTTATTGACAATAAGATGACGTTTTGAAATCACACTTAATTTCAATAATAGCCTCAAAGTACCTTGAAAATATTCAACATACAAATGGAAAATCCATTTGATTATGACAATGTTAATCACTTTAAAATTCACAATACTTTTGTTAAATTTAAGGTGTAAATTATCATAGGGTTATTAAACAGTAATTGACCAAATCATAGTGATGTTCATTGACACAGTTTAAATCACCTGGGAACAAACTGATTTTAGGCCCAACCATCTGGTGATAAACTATAATATATATTCATAAAACTATTATGGGATTTTATTTAATGAAATAAGCTTTTAAACTGAAGTAGTATTTCACATGCTATTAAAGCCTCTGTAACCAAATGATTTAAAGTTCGATCCTTGCTACTTCTTGTTCTCTTGCTCAAATTCAAGTTTCTGCACAAAGATATAATGGCGTACACTTTGTCAACACCCTGCACAAAGATATAATGACATACACTTTGTCAACACCTCAAGTCCAAAGGACTTATGTGTGACAGAGCATTAAAAATTGTATTAAAACTATTCAAGTTTTCCATTAACAACTTAAGCTTTGAATCAAAATAATCTTTTTAAGAGTCACTAATACATTTAAAAATGTCTAGACTCATGTCTTCAAGAGGCCAGCTCTATTTTCAAGACCACTGGTTTTTGCAACTGGATTCATGAGTTTCTTCTCTGTAGTTATAGCGTTATTCAAGGTAAAAGCTCTTTACTTCCTAAGCTATTCATTCCTTCTCATCATCAAACTTTTGATTGAAGATGTGCATGTAATGTTTAACGCTGCACTGAGTTTAATATAGGATATACCAGACATTGAAGGAGATAAAGTATTTGGCATCCAATCGTTTTCAGTACGTTTGGGTCAAAAGCGGGTATGTGCCTAAAATGCAACATCTTGTTGGACTCGGTTGTTCCAGCTTGCATTCCCTGATATTCTCCATTTAATTTTTGCCAGGTATTCTGGATTTGTGTCTCACTTCTTGAAATGGCTTATGGAGTTGCCCTCTTGGTGGGAGCTGCATCTCCTTGTCTTTGGAGCAAAATTATTACGGTAAAGTGGTTGTCATATTTTTGTCTCAGGGGTATTAGAAGTAGGGTTTTGATAAATTATTATTGTAAAGTAGGGTTTTAATTTTTTTTTCTTGGAAAAATGATTTGCAAGGGATTCATTCTTGTAATGTTTATCACTTGCTCTATAGGAGATATTATGCTTGCACTAGCTTTTCCTTTTCAAGCTTTATAAGGGAGAATGACAAGTAAGGACTTTGTAAGAACATTAATGCCAAATTATTCAGTATTAAAATATAGTAGAAGGAGTACTGAAATTTGAAAATGTCAATGTTAAAAAATCCTAATTTGACATTCATGTTTTTACAAGGTCCTTATTTGCCATTCTTCCTGTATTTATTTTAAAAAAATCTCTTTTCGCTTGCGTTTTGTGTTTTTTTGGTTGGTTCCCTCTTATTTGTAATTCTCCCTTCCTCCCCTTCCTCTCTCTGTTCTTCCCCTTGATAAAACCTTCTCTTGTTAACCCTCTTTCCTTTTAATAAAAAAAACCTCCAACACCTACACAGACCAAGGAAAAGTTTCACTGAAGGAACAGACCGAATTTATGTCATCTTAGGAAGCTTTTACTGTGGAAGATTTATATTGCGAAGTCTGGAAATATCTCCATGAGAAAGCAAATGTGTTCCATATACAATATTGATTTTATTGTCAACTGCAAAATGAGTCTTCCAAGGCTAGGAGGCATTAATTCTCAAGATTGGAGAAAGCTTAGGATTCTCAATAAATATACGAATTGTTATTTACATCTTTATACCAATTAATAACTTTCAAGTACGGCCTAGATTGAACATTTCACCAAAGCTTGAAATTTACTTCCAATGGGTTAGGGTCTTGGGCATGCCATCCTTGCTTCAATCCTCTGGTATCAAGCCAAATCCTTGGATCTCAAGAGCAAAGCTGCCATAACATCCTTCTATATGTTTATCTGGAAGGTGAAATTTCCTTTTTGTTTGCAAATCCCTTAATACATGTTGGTTTTGAATATTTGGTGGTGCAAGTAATAGCAATTTTCCACTTTATACCATAAAATGATTTTTTAGAAGTATCTATTATGTGGCTGTTCAGTTACAAATGAGTTCCAAATTTATGTATGCCAAACAGAAGATAAAGTACACTGTGCTCAAGTAGAATTCATTTTTACTAGAAGTTAATTTACATATTGTAAGCAAAGTAGTGAGTGAAATTTACTTAGATCATGGTTGTAACTGTGGTCGTGGTTTATTGCATGTTATATGGAGCTAAAAGGGATCAACTCAATTCTTGAACTGGTCACCAATTCTGATGGCTCAGCTGTATCTATACAACAACAAGCCTTATCTTATTAAGTGGAGTTAGCTATATGGATTGCATGATGCCATTGTGTTCTATTAGCAGCCTAATCTATAAATATATTGTTTAACTAAAAGGCTTCATTCAATAACTTCATTGAGTGTTTGTTTTTGTCTTCTTCTGCCCCTCTACCCCTCCCTTCTTGGTGCCTCCTATGTTCTCCTTTGTACATATCTGAACCACCTTAACTGAATTTTTACCATTTTTTCTTCAGTACTACTTACATGTCCATATCAATATTCTCATCTTTGTTACCCCAACTTTATATTATTGTTCTCTCTTTAAAACCAAACATTCATTACTATGTAGCATTACCGATCTTATAACAGTTTGATAAAACTTCACTTTAAACTTATTAGATACTTTCCAACTCACAAATAACTCATGTAACCTTTCTCTATTTGCACCACCTAGCTTGTATTCTATATGTAACTTCTTCATCAATTTCACCATTATTTTGTGTAACTGATCCCAAATATTTGAACTTTGTCACTTGTGGTACGATTTGATCTTTTTTTAACCTCCAAATTACTACTAACTTGCCTCTTATCGAACTTCCAGCGCATATATTTTGTCTTACTCCCACTTTAGTGGAACCTTTTGATTTAATGGTACATATACTTCTCTTGAAATGGGTGCGGTTTAGGGATCACGAATCTGTGTCATCTTAAGTTGTCTCCAAAGTTCTTTAAAGTCTTTCACATTTTTCTATAAGACAAATCCCGGCATGTGAAAGACTTCACAAAACTTTGGAGGCAGATGATTTCAAAAAATCCGATTCATTCAGATCACACCCCCTGATTGGATGGGGTTATGTTAAACCCTCACTTGTGAATCACAAGAATCTGCTCCAACAACAACAAACCTTATCTCATTAGGTGAGGTCGACTACATGGATTGCATGACACCACTGTGCTCTATCATTAAACAAGCTTTTAAAAATATTGTTAACTGAGATGTCTCATTCAACAATTTTCATAACTGTTCTTTTTAGTCTTCCTCTAACTCTCTTTACAAGTTCAAGATCATCTGTTTCACTTTTCTCACTAGTATTGCTCCACATTGAAAGAGAGAATTATTCATTAGCTGGAAAGCTATTGATCAGCAAGCTGATGATGTTTTTTTGTAGTAAAATTCAGTTGTGTCCAAGAAGTGCAAAGTGATTCAACATGGCTTATTGTAGCTGAAAAGATCTCAAAGTAGTTTTGGCCTGCAAAAGATAAATCGACCAAATCAACCATATGGATAAAACAGCACATCTTTTAATGAGATATGCTTATCACATGCTTATTCCTTTATTGAGTTGATTTGTCTGCCTTTTTTTTAAATGAGGCCTGTCTAAGAATCATACTTGCCAGTTTATCTGCTTTCTAGTCTGTCCGTATATCTGTCAGAATTTTGCTATGGTCCTTTGATCTCTATTCCATATCTTTATATATGAAGTAATGTGTCATGTTTACTGGGAGGCTCATGAATGTGCTAATCGGCGTGTGAGAGTGACTCAAGATCATGACACTTGACAGAATACATAGTATATTCTTTTTGTTTTATTTTTCTTTCTATGGTGATCCATCCCTCTTCATGAAAGTACTGTTTCTGATGATGTTTTTATTATTGCAGTTATTTTATGCAGAGTACTTCCTCATTCCCCTGGTTAAATGAGAATGCAGCAGCATTGTTGACTTGAGAATTAGTTGTTTAAGTAGAGTCTTAAACATATGCGATGCATAATTGTAGATGGAGAATGTTGTAAATTTGCTGAGTTATGCCTTTTTAAACAAACTCTGCAATGGCAGGGAAGAGGGCCAGCATCACTATTTGAAACCAGACAGACCATAAATACAACTGATCTTTTGATAAAATCTAGATTTTTAATTCATGCTTGGCTGTTATTTGTTCTTCCTCAGTGAAAGAACATGATGGAGAGAAAATAAAACCGGACTACAAAAGCAATTCTTAAAAGATGGAGATTATAATTGAAAAATATTTTGGATAAATGAATATAGAATGTAACTTTCTATCTAAACATTTGTCTTTGCTTGTCTTACAACTTCTCTATTGCAGTTTACCTTATATGCGAAGCCAGTTTTTACTTTTTAGAACTCACTGGAATTTTTTCCTTATACAAAACACAAAAAAGATAATAACTTGAAAATTTTTGGAAGAATGTCTTACTTATTAACATTTAAACTTCAACGAAATATGCCAAGAAATACTATGGGCTAAAATAAAGAAAAAAAATATACGGAGAAATGTTGATGAAATAAAAGCAAAGTTGCATTAGATGCCCATACAATGGGTACAGAAATTCAGAGAAAAAAAGATCTTACACACGTCAAGAGGAATCGCAGTTGTAACATATGAATAATATTTTATATTATAGGTATTGATGAGGATGTGAACTTTGGGCATGTGCTTGCATGTAGTTTAAGGTGAATTCTATTATATATGATTGGTGAATGACGTGACTTTTTATAAATTTTGTATTAATATATTAGTATTGCAAATGATATTCTTTTGATCTTTATTTATAAGTTACTTTTAATATATTTTATTTCAATATATTTTATCAGTATTAGGAAAAATTTTAAAACTCATTAGCTTTATTTTAAAATTTAATAAATTTTTAATTTTACCTCTATTAAATATACATATTTCAATAACAATTTTCTCTCTCTAACATTCAACAGAGGATAAGAGAAAAAATTTGTGATGAAAATTTAATGACGTGACTTATAAATAGAATAAAAAAATTCTTCTCTCTTTGCCTCATAAAAAGGACCAGAGGGAGTAAAGTATAATGATATCATAATCGATTCCATTTAATAGGATAAGACTTATTATTATTATTACTATTGTATTAATATGTTAGTATTGATGATTCTTGATTTTATAAAATATGTAAATTTTTTGAAGTTTTATTTCTTGTATGGTATAAAATTTGAGGTGAATTGCATCAATTATAACATAAAAAGTTAAAACTAATGGGCAATAAATGGCAGGATGAAAAAATGAACTGGTGAACAAACACTTTTTTATATATTGATTGAATTTTTTATTTCTCTTTTCGTTTTTGTTCCTTTCAATTGAGAAAGCTTATTATATCTTTTGCTGGTAAAAAAATTGAGCAAGTTTATTCTTATATTTTATGGAATAATAGATAACTTTTGTTGCTTCAAGACATGTGGTTTGAAAAATTAGTCACACGAAAAATGTGTTTTGTGAATTATGCGCCTAATAAGAGATTTTATTATAAGTTAATTTTTTTCTTATTATAAATTTTATAATATACTTGTTGATTATTGATTCGAATTAGGTGTATTGTACAAAAATGTTATAAATAAATTACACTATTTATAATTATAATTTTATTTTGTTATGAATAAATTTAATTATACATGCACATACATGTATGTGACTGGGGGGCTTTCGTACAGCCGAACACCAAATAACAGGTACACTTGGAGCCGAATTTTACTTGGCCCCCAAGTCATATTGGCCATCAACATCAAGTAAATTACTTTGACCATGTTTTTTTTTTTGTTTTTGGGTTTCAAAAATCCATTTCTTACACCACATCCACAACAAAGTAATGCACAATTCCCATAAAAAAACAATACATTATAAGATTTTGAGTGTAATTTATTGGGAAAAAAATATAACAATAGGTAATTGTATTTTGATTGCATTTTATATTTAATTCCTATAATTTTATTTTGTTATTTTCAATCTTTTTAGTTTGATATGTAATGTTAGTCCCTATAGTTTTAAAAATACATACTCCTTCTATTCAAATATGTAAGACATTTTTAGTCTTTAAGGTGTAATTATTATCTTTTTTTTAAAGTACCACTATTGATAATGACTTGATATTTATTATAGGGTGTTTAATAAGGACAAATATAAAAAGATAGGGTTAGTTTGAAAGTAAATAATTATTTTATTAGGTATGAGATTTGGTTAAAAATGTCTTATATTTTTATACGGAGGAACTGTAAAGATCATGAGCTAACCATAATTAATTTTGCTAACCTCTTTACTGACGTGTACTTAATTTTGCCTTCGTTTGCTATATTTTATTTAAGCCAAATATAAAAAAGTATTTTTTTTACCCATTTACCTTTCATTTTTAATTATGTTAGTCGATTTATTTTTATGTCATCAGCATCTTTTTATCAAGTCAGCAAATATGTTAGTGCAATCATAATGAAATAAGCTTCATCAATGCTATCTCACAATTTTTATGTACATTTTTTAAATTATAGAAATTAATATTGTTGATTGATTAAACTAAAAGGACTAGAATTAATGAAATAAAATTTTAAAGACTAAGAATAAAATACAATTGAAGTAGACGAACCTATTATTATGTTTTTTTAATTTATATTTATACACCACATGCCACACTTTGCAGTGTTTAGAGAGTTGTTATTTTGTGACTTTGGGTGTTTCTCCACGCATATTGCACCCAAATAAAATATTATTCTTCTGCAGTTAAATTCTTGCCCATGTTGATATGTATTGGCGACATAACAAAAATTTAAAATTTTTGATCGAGTAAATGCTACTAAGTCTAAATAGCCCTCACAACTTCCCCCCTCCCCCCACACACGCACACACAACCTGGCTTGATCTGTCTCAAAACGACGTCGAATACTTAAGAAGACTGACATTTTCTTGTCAGGGGAGGCAGTTTCAACTTAAACCCTAGTTGCTGTCAGTTGTAACTGGTAAGCTGATATTGCTGCTGAGCGCTCTCTCGTTCCTTGTTGTCACTGAATCGTTTCGGCGTCTCGGCGTTGACGATGTCAACTCCATCGGAGCAGCCGGTTCCGACCTCCGGTGAAACCATTAGCAAGAAGTGAGTGTCACTGAACTTTATCTTCCTGTAATTTGGATTTATCGTCTCGCTTCATGTGGTTTTATGGCTTTCTCTACAGTGCATTGAAGCGGGAGCTCAAGAACAAGCAGAGAGAAGAGGAAAGGAAGCGCAAGGAGGAGGAGAAGGCTAAGAAGGTACTCCTTTTCCATGAAACGCCAGTGATTTTGATTACTGCTCCTGCGAGATGTGCCTATATCACGTCTTAGGAGCTGCTTTGTTCGAAAGTTGTCCCGACAGTATTCTTGGACTTATCGTACAATAGATTTGGATTGTCCGGTCGATTTCTTTGTGATTTTACGCCCTATAGCATTTTTTCCTTTAAAAAAGTTTTTCCTTTACGGGATGGGGATCGATTAAAAAAAGGCTTGTTTCTCTTAGACATGCCAGAATATTATGTGATTACGCCTCTGGATTTTAATGGTGGATCAGCTAATTAGGACATTTGAACATAAAAATAAAATTTATGTTGCATTTTCAGGCAGCGGAAATGCAACGTGCCCAATCTAACAAAGCTGCATCCGCTGATGATGAGGATATGGACCCAACGGTATAGTTCTGTTCTTGGCACTACAGTGTTTCCAAATGTACTGTCATAGGTAACCTTCATTTGTTTTCCTGGCAGCAATACCTTGAGAATCGGCTGAAGTATCTTGCAGCTGAGAAGACTGAAGGAAAAAACCCTTATCCGCACAAGTTTTTTGTCTCTATGACTATTAGCGAGTACATTGATAAATATGGGGGAATGGGCAATGGAGAGCATCTTGAGGGCAACTCCGAGTCTTTGGCCGGTAATGACATTTTTATTTTCATTGTCATTTTCTTACGTGTCTTTCATGCTTTATGTATTCATGTATTGATTCTACATATTCTGCATTCCAGGACGCATCATGCAGAAACGGTCTTCAGGTGCAAAGCTAGTCTTTTATGATCTGTGTGGTGGTGGTTTCAAGGTCCAGGTTATGGCTGATGCAAGGCATGTAACGTTTTGCCCTTTACTTAAGATCAAATATTTTCTAAAATGAAAAGGCATTAGATGTTGAATTCTTGATTCGAGTTTAAATCCCATCTTTGATTTCTAAATGCATATGTGAATGACTCATCTTGGGATGAAGGTAATGTATTGAACGAATGTACCTGGCACCCGTTAAAAATTGACATGTCCTTCATGTTAAGGGTTCTGTTCCCTTGCCTCTCTCTGAAAGAACATTTTAACACTGAAGAGTAATTTTCAGATGCTTGATATGTTGTTGGACCATGTGAGCTAGCTTCTTTAGCACCACTGCACATGTTAAATGATGTGTTGTGGGAAAAGTATAAAATTATGTCATGGAAGTTCGGTCATACATTTCTCACTTTTTAGGATCCATAAACTGTATTAAGCCTCTTATCAGTTTGGATAGTAGTGTCTCAATTAGGAAATCATATTTTGATTTCTTAATATACTTCTTATGTCAATGCAATTCTACTTTGCATTTGTTTCTTCTCTGGTAAATTAGACAATATATCAATAAAGCAAGTTGGTGGTTGTATAGCACTGTCTCAGCAATAATGCTAACTATTTTTCTAAATTTAGATTAAAAATTGGCTATTTAATTATGTTAGAATTTTAATCCCCACAATTTTCTTCTCTCTGCTGCTGCTGCTGCAGTTGTTTAGTTGATAAAGTTTCTATTTTTAATTCATTTGGTGGGCAATTTTCTTATTTATGGGTTTCATTTTTTTTTATTATTCTTTTAACACTGCTAAAACAGTTCATATCACTGTGGTGCAGGAACTCTGACATGGATGAGGCTGAATTTTCCAAGTTCCATTCTAATGTGAAGCGTGGTGATATTGTTGGAATCACTGGTTTTCCAGGTTCAGGATACATCTTTCAGTCTGCTCCATTATTATTATTATTTTTATTTTTGTGGGGGTGTAGTTTGTTTTCTTTTTGGGCAGTTGATTTGTGTAATTTTGAGGTATAAATTCATTGAATTGCTTTGTTTAACGTTTATTTTGTTTTCTCATAAAATTCTCTATTACTCTTTATTCTCCTGTAGCAAATATTACTTGCTCTGAGGGGAGAAGCTTTTGCTGTTATTGCAAATTTCTTAGCACATCACATGGGAACAGAATAAGAACTCAGAGTAAAGGACCATTCTGAGGATGGTTTCCTATTAATTTTTTTTTTCGTTAACATGAGATGATTGTTTTTTTTAATTCATTTCATGCCTTGTAATTCCCTGACATTCCTTCTTAATAGTGTTTTTTAAATGAAATAAATGGTGTCAATCGAAGAATAGGAAAGTTATGCTTGAGCCTTACTGTTAAGACATCTTCAAAATCATGTCAAGTGCGAGAATTGCTCTGAAAGTATTTCCTATTTAGACATTTAGTAAATATGGAATGGTATGATATCAGTACTTGTGCTTAACAAACAGAGATAGAAGTGAGGCTTATTTTTTCTTTATTGACTTTTTTAAGTTACTATTTACTTGACCAGATTGCACTCTGAATAAATTTCCTCATTGTTTCCTTTTTTTGTATTCCAGGGAAAAGTAAGAAGGGGGAGCTAAGTATTTTCCCCAAGACTTTTATATTGCTGTCCCATTGTCTCCATATGATGCCAAGGCAAAAATCTGCAGCTGCTGCTGATAATGCAAATGTAAAGGTGAATATAATTTCCTTAGATCTTTAATGCTGCTGAGGTTCATGATTGTATATATTTATATATCGACATCATTATCGCTTTAATAATATGCAGAAACATGTATGGACACCTGGAAGTCCCAGGAATCCTGAAGCCTACATTTTAAAGGATCAGGTGATTGTTTTTTTGAAGCTCTTGATTTGTTCTTTTATATACTGTATGTGCCATACTTGTGTGCTGGAAATCACCCACATCTGTGTGTGTGTATGTGTGTTTGTTTCTATTTTACAAGTGTATATTGGTATCTGTATGGTAATGTGAATATTTTATATATCTCTTTTGTAGGAAACTAGATATCGACTACGCCATTTGGATTTGATGCTGAATAACGAGGTTCGGGAAATATTCAAGACCAGGAGTAAAATTATTTCTTACATTAGGAGGTTCCTCAATGACCTTGATTTCTTGGAGGTTTGTTTTCATTCTTGGTGTGCGTAAGGCCAACTTCCTATTGATGTTTTCCCCCCTTTCATTTACCTGCTTTTCCTTCCTCTATAAGGTTGAAACACCAATGATGAACATGATTGCTGGTGGAGCAGCAGCACGTCCATTTGTAACCCATCACAATGAACTTAACATGAGATTGTTCATGCGAATTGCACCTGAACTCTATCTTAAGGAGCTAGTTGTTGGTGGTTTAGACCGTGTTTATGAAATTGGAAAGCAGTTTAGAAATGAGGGAATAGATTTAACGCATAACCCTGAGTTCACTACATGTGAGTTCTATATGGCCTATGCGGACTATAATGACGTGATGGAGATTACAGAGCAAATGTTGAGTGGTGAGATTTTTTTAGGTTTCTGCTTCTGTCATATTGATTTCTATCTTAGAACATTCTCCTCAAGTTACCTGGTTGATCTCCTGATGTGGAAACCTTCGAATAGGTATGGTGAAGGAACTTACAAATGGAAGCTATAAAGTCAAATACCATGCAAATGGGATAGATAAGGATCCAATTGAGATTGACTTTACTCCACCTTTCAGGTAAGTCTTTTATAATTCATGGTCCACAATTGTGACAATGAATTACAATTTTTATTGATTGATTCATTTGGATTTTTTTTATATTTACAGAAGGATTGACATGATAGAGGAGTTGGAGAAGATGGCAGGCCTAAGTATTCCCAAAGATTTATCTAGTGAGGAAGCTAATAAATATCTGAGGGATGCATGTTTAAAGTTTGAAATCAAATGCCCTCCACCTGAAACAACAGCTCGTTTATTGGACAAAGTAATTTCCTTGTCATTATTGCATGAATGTCTATTTTCCCCCTATTTTCACGATTCCCTTTTTGGCAAATTTTTCATACTGACATTTAGCATCGGTTGCATTTTACATGTTTCTATGGGATAGTTTTATGTGTTGATGCTGTTTGCTGATGAATCCACTATTAAAGAACATGATAAGAATTCAAATGTTGGGAAGTTTTATTCTACTGTATGTTGGATCTGCTGATGATCTAGGTTAGAAATTTGCTCAAAAATGGTTAAAACATTCTTTCCTGCCACCAAGAAGGAAAAAAGGTAGGGATAACAAGTGTATGTGTCCACACTTTTTAGTCAGTGAAACAAGTTGTTGCTGCAATGATAAAGCATAATTTTATTACATAATTTTTCGATAAATAAGCTCTGGCATTAAATAGTTTTGAATTGTGACGTTAAATGAGTTCATGTGAGATTGGAAACTGCATTTCTACTCCATTATTGCTCATTTGTGTTCTTTTACCTTTTTACATATTCTTCTTGATATCTTAATTCATATCGACCTGTATCTCATGTGATGCTGTGTTTGTCATATTGCAGCTTGTGGGACATTTCTTGGAGGAAACGTGTGTGAATCCTGCATTCATCATAAACCATCCCGAGATAATGAGTCCTTTGGCAAAGTGGCACAGATCAAAACCTGGCTTGACTGAACGTTTTGAATTGTTTGTTAATAAACATGAAGTTAGTCTGTGAACTTCTGGTGAATAAACTTTGAATCAAACGTGTTAGCGGCAATATAATCCATGCTTCATATGACTTACCTTTTCAGCTATGCAATGCTTACACTGAATTGAATGATCCAGTAGTACAACGCCAGAGATTTGCTGAACAGCTCAAGGTATTGAGATATGATATCCTACTGTGTTGTAGAAGTTTAGTGTTTGGCATCTCCCCCTCCAAATATGTGTATATATATATATATGATCAAAAAATTATTCGAATTCTTTGAACTTCAGGATCGGCAATCAGGTGATGATGAAGCAATGGCCTTAGACGAGACATTTTGCACTGCTTTGGAGTATGGGCTGCCTCCAACTGGTGGTTGGGGTATGGGCATTGATCGGCTGGCCATGTTGCTTACTGATTCACAGAATATTAAGGTTCTTGTTTCTCTCTCTCTCTCCCCCCTCTTTTGTTTTTGCAAACACTCATTGCTTACCGGTCTTTATTGTTTTTGGTTAACAGGAGGTTCTTCTCTTCCCTGCCATGAAACCTCAAGATTGAACACTAAGGTTTGTGCTCTCACCTCATCCGAGTGAAAACATCCTTCATATGAAAATATCTTGCTTGAAGCAGTTGACTCGTTTAGTATGTGAAATGAAGATTTCAAAATGTGTACCCACTGAATACATTTTCCTTTTTGTTTTCAGTTTTGGCATGTGTTTGGGAATTAAAGGTGAAGAATATGATGGGGACGGAAATAGGAGAAATGAAAAATGAGCAATTAGTAGTGATGTTGGCTATTATTTAAATTCTTCATATTCGGAGGCAGTCCGTAGTTTTTGAGAATTTTTTCAAATGCGCAACCTGTAAAACTATATTTGCCATTTTGAAGTTTCATTTTTTTATACAGGCGTGTTCTAGTTATGCTCATGCTTGTTAACATGTTATAATTTAGCCTTCCTGCGGAGGAAAAGAGGTCATGTTTTTTTTATATTTGAATATAACATATGCATGGTTTTCCTTTCATCCTCATGAAGCTGAAATCACATTTTTTTGGGGCCAAAAAATTACATTGTCCTGAAAGTTAAGTTAATGGCAGTAGCTTTCATGTTAGGTTGTCAAACTCGTGAAGTTTAAATAAATTTGTGATGGAAATATAAATTGGGATCTTAAACAAGCTTGGATCATAAATTTAAGAGAGGTTACTTTTATTAATAAATAATTATTGAAAGTATTTGATTAAGTAATTAAAATTAAAAGTATGATTATAATTTGATTTAAATATATTTTAAATATAAATTATTGAAATTAAATATATGTACAATGGTAGATTGTAATACTCAATATACAAATTTCAAAACGTGGCAACATATTTTTGGTACTCGTTTTTTATTATTAATTTTTGTTGTTTGAGCTTTATTTCTTTTTGAATCAGGTTTTATCGATTTTATGAATCAAATTTTATGTAATATATATTAAATTAGTTAAATTTGAAAAAAAAATTAATGAGTTTAATAAATTTAATCATATTTGCATTTTGCCTTTATAATTGAGTTAACATAATTTTATAAATTAAAAATTAAAAAAATAATATATTTGGATAATTAACTTGCAAGTTCATTTAAGTTTGATTTTAATTTAAGTTTATAAGTAAATTGGTATAATTTTATAAATTAAAAACTTAAAAATGATAGATTCAGAATTAATTTAGGAGTTTGACAATAATATCAACTCACTTGCCTCATAACAGAACGGCGTTAAAAAAAAAAAAAAAAAGTTGCTGTTAAATAACAAAATATGGATCCTTGCAATGCATCAAAGTGAAGGATGAGTCATGCTGTTTGACTTATTGAGTTATATAAAAAGGTGTTTCATATTGTTTCTTATGAATAACAAATATTATTTAAATATCGTTTGTATTATGTATCTACATTTTCTTTCTAACCTCTTACATATCCATTCACTAGCTATTTGTCAAATTTCCTTGTGAGAACTTGAGTTAAGGTGGGGAAATCACTAGGAGCTGATTTACTTACATTTAAGACAATTGTGGTAAAAAGTCTCAACAATTCATATTTGATTTACAAAACTTTCATTAATTTTTATTAGAAGTCAGGTCATTCACAAATCTTAAGCTGAGACTTCTAGTACGTTGGCACTTGTCTTGTAACATGCAAATTTCATAGAATTCTCAATGATGATAATTTTTCCTTGCCACGGACAAACACTAATGATCGAAGTGCCGTTAAATTTAGGCCCAAAAAAATGATTAATTTGACTTGACTATACTCTGCACTTAATCTAAACAGGTGATCTAATATGTACATATATATGTTTTGAAAGAGTGATGGATGCTCTTATCAATTTGAACCCCAATCCTTATATTAGTATCAATAATAACTTAATTAAAAAAGGTTTACCTTTTATTCTTATTATCTTTGGAGAGATAATTTTTACTATTGACAAAGTGATAGGGCCTACTTCTTATATATATATATATATATATATATATAAAAAAGAAATTTATAAAAATCCAACGACTATTAGGTGAAGATGTTATGTAATAAATAAAGTGATTTCACTAATAGGGGTTGGATTTAACAGAATTATGAAAGTGGCTAATCTCTCACAACGTAATAAACTAATATTTGAATCCTCGTTAAGAGAGGGGTCCATATCCAATGCTCAATAGTGTCTTGAATAGTATTGCCTCTAATAAAAAAATATAGAGGAAATATAATTTTAAGTCTTTATACTTTGTTCGCATTTTACTATTGACCCTTTTTTTTAGTGTTTTTAATTCTTGTACTTTTATTTTTCATTATTTTAGATCCTTCTATGGACAAAGTATAGGAACCTTGGATTTACATAAAACAATGAAAAATAAAAGTATTGGGATCAAAAAAACTAAAAAAAGTATAGGGATTAATAGCAAAACACAAGTAAAATATAAGAACTTAAAGTAATATTTTTTTTAAATATATATATATATATATATATATATGGGCAATCAAAAAAATAAAGTGATTTTTTTTTAGCAAATGTAGTTTTGCGCTTACGGCCATTAACTAAATCAAGAGCTATTGGCTGGACAAGTGGACAAGTGTGGTAAGAAAAGGAAGGGGGGCTGGTTGGCAATATTAAAAGTCAAAATAATAGACACCATGAAAAAAACAACAATCAATTTTATATATTATGCAAGAGAAGGCAAATCAAAATTTTCAACGAGTAATATTATGAAATTAAATTTGAAATTGTCTTTGTTATTTCTACTAATAGCAATGTCAGTAAATCAGTGGCTCCAATTTCAGTGTTATGTTCTAAGGGTCAATTCCTTCATTATGATTTACCAATGGAAAGGCACTTCAATGATTTCATCATGCCCTTCCCTTGAAGCATCGTCTTACTAATTTCTAGTTTACATTCATTGATCTTAGTATATCATTTTCAATTTGAAATATTGTGACATGAAAACAAAAATATATGTTTTCATATTCACAAATGATTCCGTGAACTTGTGCAACTATGCAACCATAATTTGATACTTGGAAGTAAGAACTTAATCACTTGTCTTTTAAATCTCATACTTTGTGTAATGTAAATTTTATTTGTAGATAACTCTTTTAAACTTAAATTATGTGCATACAATTCTTTAATTTTTTTTTTGCCATAAAATTATCTAAGAACTCTTTGAAATATAAATATGGATAATTTCATAACTTTTTTTTTTATTGTGATGCTCCTAAAACTTTTTTTTATTGAAAAATTATGAAAGATCAACTGCATAAAAGAATGAAAGATAAATGAATCAAGGAAAAATATAACTTCAAATTCTTAAACTTTATTCATGCTTTGCTATTAGTCTCTGCACTTTTTTTAATATTTTAGGTCCTTATATTTTTTTTATTACTTTAGGTTCTTATAATTTGTTCATGAAGAAACCTAAAATGATGAAAAATTATAGTGTAAGAACCTAAAATATCGAAAAAAAGTGCTATGACCAATAATAAAACGCAAACAAAGTGTAAGGATCCAACTTTATGTTTTTCCATGAATCAAATACTAGACTAGTTTTCAATTCAACTAGTTGAAGCGATCAATCCAATTTGATTTTAAAAATGTACAAACAACGCAATAGTCCAAAAACTTAGCATCATTATACAAATTCACTTCGGTGCCAATAGTGAAAGGTTCCCAAATATTCTCCAAAATTCATTGATTAAAAGGAGTAGGCATTGGTTATGACTGATTATTCAGCAATTTCAAAACATAAAATTGTATGGTAAGATAATTATAAGATCTACAGTGTATGATAAAATTGTCCCGCTGACCTTAGATCCTAGATCAGTCACTGTATACAATTCAGTAAGAAAAAGACACAAAAAAGCAGCCATACTTACATAATCTTAAATAATATAATGGTTGATTGAGTTGGAAGATGAAGAGATTAATAGTCGTGGGTTTAAATATTTTGCAGCACAATTAATTGAATTGAATCTTTGAATTGGAATTGAATGGATCATGATGAGATCAGGACATAGAGAAAAAGAGGGAATGGGATTAATATATGATTGATAAAGACAAGCAAAACCAGAAAAAGAGAGATCACTTGGAAGAAAAGAAGTGGATTGAAGTGCTTTGCACCTTCCTCAAAAGTCATATCTCATTCCATTAACTCATCAATTATTGGTGCGTCATTTTCTTCACCCTCCTCATTCATGCCTCTCCGCTTCCGTTTCTTTACCAATAAATATTATTGGGATTTTAATTATTTAACTTTGCCTCCATTATTAGTTTAGTCCTTCAAGTGTAATCTTTATTAAGCAAATCCCTAATATTTTATAATCATGCATGATTAGTCTGTATAATTTGAAGGAAAAATAACACCATGAACACTAATTGTGTGCTTCATCTGATTTTATTTTTAATTATAAGTTACTTACGACATGTTTTATTGAATTGAGAAAAATCTTAAAATTTATTAACTTTTTTTAAAAAGTTAATAACTTTTCAATTTTGCACTCATTAAATATAAATACTCTCTTTGCTTTTATATATAAGACAAAATAAATGCATCACACAGTTTAAAAAAATTGATTAATGATAATAATTGTATCTGAAAATAAAAAACTAGACTAAAATACCCTTTTATTTAATCAAAATAAGGTTGCATTAATTGTTTTTTATGAATGAAAATTATGAGTTTGTAAAGGGTAATTTAGGTAAATTGTAATAAATACTTATAAGGTATGTGATTTTTCTTATAAATAAAAACAAAACAACAAGTGGTAGCTTTTCTTATATATAAAACAGAGAAAATACTTTAATAACATATTTTTTTTTACTGGCACCTATTGAAAGGTCAATGAAAAAATTTATAAATAAGACCAAAGTGAGTATGTTTATGAAACTCTATGCACTTGAATGATAAGCATTAAATTTTAAAGACCAAATTGATAATTTGATCAAAAGTTTCATTATCCAATATTAATTAATTATTAATAAACTATAAATTAGAGAGAGAGAGAGGCTTATGCAACCATGCCCAGATAGATAGATAATTAAGAATCTTCTCAGGTCATCAATAGTGAGTTGCCTTTGTGGTAATGTCATCTCTCTCTCTTAAGAGAGGTCTTGAATTTAAATCCAATCTTGACATGCTTGTGTGTATGGATGCGTGTATCTTCTTTTCTTTTAAGGAAGACCTAGTTTATGAATAAAATTTTTTTAAGAATCTTCCAAGGTTGAAAGATGAGTGGAAAATAGTGGGTACAATGGAATAAGTCACTTTCAAATTTCTTTGCAATCCCATCAAATCGTTCAATATTATTCCCAACTTCCCTTTTCCTACAATCTTTGCATTGTTTGAAAATATTCCATAAATGATAATGATTCAAAATATACAATAAATAATAATAATAATGCAATCTTAGGTTGAATTTGGATGAGGATCCTCACAACCTTTTATAGTGGAAGACATGCTTGAATTCCATTCTACATTCACAATCCATTTGCCCTGTCTCCTC